ACACCGGAACCACAGAGCGCTGAGAGGGAAGCAAAAACGATCAATCGAAAAAATCTGATATCGGATCGGTATCAGACGTTTGCTCCGATGAAGGTTGACATGTTCCCGACCTTTGCTCTGCACAGGAAGAAGAGGGCGACCAATCACAAGGAGGAAGCAGAAATCTGCTGGCAACACCTCGACCCGCCACGCCCCCCCCCCGGATCCCGCGTGCGCCGTCGCCCCGAGCGACGACGACGACGACGCTTAAACCGGGTGACAGCGGAAGCGAGCGGGGGGGGGGAGTGATGACAGTAGACGGCGGCGATCAAAGCGCGCCTCCTCATTTGACGACACCTTCGCGGCTCCCACTAACAAAATGATGGAAACGTCCCGGAGTGTTTGTCAAAATAAAACATCACAGATGGTTCAGGCCTTTCGACCAGAAAAGAAAGAAAAAAACCCTCTGTGATGTTATTTATTCTCTTTGCGGTCGTCTGCTTGTGCCGTATTGAATTATGGAAGTGGCGAGGGAGGCAACCATCAATGGGCCGATTCCACTGTCTCAACACCAAAGCGCGTCTCTGCGACGGGGACTTTGACAGATGGCGTGTCACCTCCGTCGGCGTGACGTCCCGCGTGCACACGCCTGTCTGTTGATGCGTGATCAGGAATTTCGTTTTTTTTCTCCTTCTTTGGAGTGATATTTGGTCGTGTGTGTGTGTGTGTGACAGGGTGAAATAAAGCATGTTAGCATGTTAGAGGACGTCGGATTCGCTTTGTGCGTCCCGGCACACCGATTTCATGAAGCTTTTTCCGGGGGCCGCGTTCGCACATCCGGGAGGCGGCGCTCTGCAGAACGGGGACCACCGCGTACACCTGTGACATTTATTCCTTTCCCTGATACGTGGCCTGGTAAACATGTTGCACGGGGACATCCAAAAGGGACGGCTGGGGCGGTTCACTTCTTACCCCTCATGAAAATGATTTGGGACACAAAAGTCCCTTTCTCTCCTAACAAGGGGTCAGCTGACGCCACGCCGCTCACACCGAACAATAACCCCCCCCCCCAGGGCCGTAGCTGCAAGTCAGCGTGTGCTTTTTTCACACCCCGTTAGGAGCACAAGTGAACCGGGCCATGCTGGCTTTCTGATCCACGCCGTCATTCCTGTTTCATGAGGTGTGGACTATCGATTCTGAAGGCAGCACAGTCAACGTTAGGAGTCGGGAGGAGAAGGAAAAAGGAAAGAAAAGCGCGCAATTGTTTCACACGGCAGATACGCGGCGACCTAATGGCCCTGACACACGAATATTTATATCACGATGACACTTGAACCGTGAATATAATCATTTAATGTTTAACCATTGCAAATGCATTGCAGGGAGGGGGCTTAGCGGCCAGGTAACTGCAGGGGGGCTTCGTTGCGTACCACAGTTTTGTGTCCTAATTTAATATTGACTGTGTGCCGTGTTTGTTACCAGGACTGGCAGCAGTGCTGTGTGCAATTTTGAGCCCTTAAATCTTAAATAAAAAGGCATTCTCAACTATAATGGGTTGAGAAAATTGCATTCCATCTACTACAAAGCATGTAAAAATTCAATTTAACGAGACGAGCGAGAGTGCATGGTTAGTTCCATTATTTGTTTTCCAAGACATTCAAACAAATTCCACATTTGTCCGACAGCATGCGTGGGACTGAAAGGGCCAAGGACGCCATGTGACCCACATTCTGACCCAGCCGGCACAAATAAAGCTGCAGTAAAGACCAAAGGGTCATTATGACACCAGTTGTGTCTCTTGGTGCCTCCATCTAGAATTACTGTTTGAAAAGAAACTAATTTCTATCCTCCATGTGTCGTGGAGAATACAGGAATATTTCACATGCATTTCATTGATATGTTCCGTGTTTAAATGACGATATTAGAAAAATAACTGGGTTATTTCAATAAATTGTGGAACTTTATTTGAATGCAGTTCTTATATAGATGACATTTTTTTTTTAAAGTTACCTAATTATAGTGAGACTGGGGCTCATCGGATGTCTTTGTCCTTTAGTCGTGTACATGTTGCCTGAGGGGAACTTTAAAAATGGTACATGCAGTAAACGGTTTCAGGCTCCGTTTTCCCTCCTCGAGAACGAGCATTTCTTTCTTTAATCAGAGTTACCCTCCGACGGACATGAAACTCGATGCAGCTGGCGCACGTCACAGCGCCTATGGAGCACGAGACAGTGAGCATGTGTACATATACACAAAAACACACAAGGGCATGTTTGCATTGGTGTTTGTTTGTGTATGCAAGCTGTTACTGTCACATTTAAGAAATTAAATTATTCCAGATGAGGTCAAAGAGCATGGATTCTTATTGTGTTCATGTGATATGGAAAGTATGGAAACATTTAAAATGAATGATGAGTTATTAGAAAATATTTGTAGATCACATTTGATCAGAATGATGGGAATTTCCGCATTTATGTTTTTATTGCTTAAAGTGTTATTTTAAAATATTGCTATATCATATTTTACAAGAATTCTCTGAATATCCACATTCATGTTTTTTTTTATTAAATAGGTAATTAATTACAAACATGTATGTGTGCAATTAATTTCCTAAATATAAATGCAAAAAGTTGAAATATATATATATATAAATAAACAAACGACTCTGCTTGACTTTAAACAATGTACAATAGTCTTAAATGCTTATATACATATATATGAAAACATATCATCTATTGAGGTCTATTGAGAATCAAATGGATGCTGTGACAACTTTACAAAACCAATAAAACAGACGTTTTAATCAATCAATTCTGTTGTCACTGGCAGGGGATCTAAAGTGTAAAATCAATGATTTTCTTTAGAAAAAAAAAAAATATATATATATATATATATATATATACACACACACACACACACACACACACACACGTGTATATGAAATGTAATTCATCTTTTTTTTTAAACCAATTATTTCTACACAAGAGAAGAAATAAAAGTAATCTTCACACATTGTTCAAGAGTTGACACATGACCTTAAAAATCTGTGACTGCACAGAACTTTACTTCCATCTCCTTCGCTGGCTGCGTGCTCTTCAGTCCTGACAAATTAAAAAATATGCTCACAAATGAATCACTTTGCAAAAAGAAAAAAACCCTCTCTGCTCGTCTCTGTGGCTGCACCCGACAGAACGTCCACCAAGTGGATCTCTCATTCTTGAACCACGAAGGTGAACACCTACAGATGCTCTGTGAATGCTCCGAGCCGCTGGTACTTGTCTGTGTCGAACACTCGGTTAAACGCAGCGAATTAGAATGAAATATTGAGTTAATTTATGAATAAGTGGGGCAGAACGGCCCCTTGTCGGAGCTTCTGCATGCATATTCAGTTGATGGAAACCTCTGGACGGGTCATTTCTCTTATAGCTGCTTCATTAAACTGTGAAAGTCAAAAGAGCAATGCATCCTGGGATAAAATAAAACAAAAAAAAAACATTAAGATCTATGGAGGTGGAACGCCGGGACATTTGTCTTTGCTCCGGCTCAAAATGTACATTACACAAAAAACGCTCAAAAATGGTTTCATAAAAAAAAAAAAGGAGTTCAAATTTAAAATTACAAAGTGTCTCATTTTTTTTTTTTAGAGATTTAAAAATAAAATAAAAAGATTAAGCAGGTGTCGTTTCTTTTATCTTTAATGAAGTAAAATTGGGGTAAAATCGAGTCGGATTAAGCCTCAGTGGGACGTTCTACGAACTGGAGTCAATCGGTGACGTTTCCAAAGAAACTCCAGAGGGTGTGTGAGCGTAAGTGTGTGTGTGAGCGTAAGTGTGTGTGTGAGCGTAAGTGTGTGTGTGAGTGTGCGCTCATGCAGTACAAGTGGTGGGGGGGGGGGGCAGGAGGTACGATCGAAGCTCAAATGCGAGCCCACTGAAGCCCGACTGTGCGTCGTCCTGGAGAACAGGGAACACAACGCTCGGCCTTCGCTGCGACAAATCAGACTGGATTTAAGGAGGTGAAGGTTATGTTGAGGCTTCCTGACTCAACGCATTGGGACGAAGAGAAGGCCAGACATTAGGACAAGCCCCCCCCCTCCCGGAAAGCAGCTCACTGCGATGAATACTGCCATTAAGAAAATGACTCGTCTAAAAGGTTTTTCCAGAATAAAAACTGATAGCACACGAACACAAGACATTTTCCTTTTTGCTCTCTATTTAATGCTCTCGCCAGTGTAATCACGCCTAATTACTTTAACTGCCTGCCACTCTTTCAAATCCTCGCTTCCTTACAATAATTGGAGCTTCACATTCACGTGATTCGACGGGCGATGCGCTTCGACGGCAGACATCTTGCGGGCTGAGCAGGGCCCATTTAAAGGCCGGGGGGGGAATGAATGCGTCCTCGAACTGGTAACCGCCCTTCCAAACAAACACACAACGCGTTATATAAAGGTGTACGTTTCACAACAACATGCGGCTGCACTTGATCAGCAGCAGAGATTGGCCTCCTTCAAACACACGGCGCCAACCCACTGTCTCGGGTTTCCAGGCGTGATGAAATTTGCACTTCAAACCTTGCTCCCCATTTAATCAGCCGTTGTGCGCGCCCAGTCAGCCGCGGCACAACGGTCCGAGCACAATCTCACGAGTGGAGCGCACAAAGCTATCTTTGATTACACGGCAGCCCGCGGGGGAGACTTCATCTAGCTCCTTTTGCGTCCCGGGCAGGAGGACCAGGTGACTCGCAGCGACTCCATCCCGAAGGCCTTCGCCGCACGCCGCCACCATTCACCCCTTTGATCCCGGGGAAAAAAGGCAGCTGCGAAAGCCTCTCCAGATTACGCGCCCCCCCCCTCCCCGCCAATGGCGCTTCCACTTGCCTCCACCAATCAGGGCCCACCATAATCCAAGCTACGCCCCCCCGCCCCCCTCTCCCTTTCCCCCGGCCCCATCGCGAAGCACGGGCCCGCGAACCAGGCAGCGCTGCAAGACGAAAAGAAGGAGGGTGTGCGACCTACTCACCCGTCTCATTGTCCGACTTATTGTCCATTTCGGTGTCGGTGAGCGTGAGCGCCGAGTTCGAGCGGCTGGAGAGGCACGAACCCGCCCCCGACTTGGCCCCTCCCGTCCCCCACAGCGCCATGGTGCGCTCCGGCGATGCAGGTTCATGGTTTTCCGCGGCGACCGGGCCTCTGGCGTAGCTGCTGAGCGGGTGGGAGAGGCCCGTCTCGGGGCACAGCGCCAAGCCCCGGCGGGCCGACGGCTCGCATATTCCGAGTTGCCTCAGCGAAAACGTCTGCCCTGTGGACGACACGAGCAGTAAAGTTAACAAACCGACCCACAACACGATTAACGGCCTTTAAAACAAAGCACTCGAGCTGAGAACATGGTGGGAGGGGAGCAGGCGATCGCCTCACAGCGTCCTCCCACGCTCAGCTATCAACACGCCCAACGGCGTTTTATTGGACTTGCTGTGGATCACAGCGTTGCTCAAACTAGCTTTGCTAATTAGGTGAGTGACATTTGAACCGGGAGCAGATCCCCAGAATATCAGGCTTCACGTGTTCATCTGCACACGTGTCGAGGAACATCATTACCACACGTCTCGTGTTCACCGCAAATCAAATAGCAGCATCTGAGCAAGATAAATCAATTCAATTTAGGAGGCGGGAATATTGCCAATAAACAGAAATACCTCATGTTGACCTCATTAAGAAGCTCCAGACCCTACGAGTAAATATTCTTATGTTTGACTCATTTAGTCCAATGGATATCCATGTGTAATAATATTTAGCCATCTGGTCAGTTTGGCACCGAAACCGACTAAAAATACCATCAGCCTGAAAATGAAAATATTTCTCTTCAAACATTTTCATTTACTGCATTTTTTTTTACATATTTACAGTTAATCAATAATATTTTTTAGGATTTTGAGGTCAGACGTGTTGACATTTTAAAAACCAAATGGAAATAAAACAGCAGCACAACATAAAATGTTTTAGACGGTGTGATATGTAAAATAAAAAATGCATGTGTTTCGCCTTGTTGTAAATGTTGCCAAAACCCCCAACTGAAAATGTTTTAGAAAAACAGATTTCTTCACATTAAATAATCATTAGATCACACACACACACACACACACACACACACACACACACACACACACACACGTTGAGCGGTTTTTATCTTCACTTTACCAAAGATGTTTTCCTCTAAGCAATAACATTGAAAGTCACATTGGGATTTATTCATAGTCGGCATTAAATGCACTGATTTTTAAAAAGAAAGGAGGAACAATTGCATTCCTCCCAAAGCTTCATCACAATCCCATTAATTAGGAAACGGGCACCAATTAGCGCGGAGAAAATGTAAAAGGAGTAATGGACAGATTTACTAATGGCAATATTACGAGCCAGAGGAGAGCCATAAAATAAAATAATCTGCTCAAACTTTTGTGATTACAGAGATTAGAGCAGTTTCACAAGAGCCAATTAAAGGACGGCGTTATCTCAGCGCGATCCAGCAGGCTACGAGCACCATAGGAGATGTGTCTTTATCTAAATAGTAACTTGCTGTTTAGCAAAATAAAACGAGGTGCACAGAATTTTAGCAACAGCCGAGTGCATCAGTGCATTGAACATCGTCGCTGACCTGGCCTGCTGTACTCTGCGCTCTCCTTGTGCACCGGCTCCTTGACGCGGCCTCCGAAGAGCATTCGCGAGGGGTCATGGTCGAAGGCCTGCAGCGTCTCGCTGGAGCTGTAGGACTGCTGAGTGGGGACGCGGCAGGCTGCGTCGTCCCGGTCGGCCGAGGAGCCGGTGTACCGCCGTTCCCGGTCCTTGTCGCGCTCGCAGAACCTCTCTCGGTCTCTCTGGCTCTTGGACAGCGAGCAGAAAGGCCGCTGCTCCCTCACCCGTTCCATGCTGCCTGCATGCTGGGTGTCCAACTCCCTCCCCCCGTCACCACGGCCGGTTTCTGCGCCGGTTCACCCCCCCTCCCCCACCACAAACGCCCCTCCCGACGTTGTCTTCTCAAGTGGGTCTCTCCTTCCGTCCACTCGGGCCTCCGCTCACTCCACCTGCAGGAAGAAAAGAAGGAAAACGAAGAAAGGAGCTCAGATAACGCCGGCTAATCCATCCGCTTCATCTTCAGAAGCACACACTCATCCCCCTTCTGACTGCCCCACCCCCACTGCTACCTCACCCCCCCCCCCGAAACCACACCCGTGAACCCTTGCTATACATGACTTCCCCTCTTAAAAAGAACAACACCTCCCCTTTCTGTCGGCTTTAAGCTTTTAAAACCAACTCCATTTCCACTGCAGTGGGTTTAAAAGTAGTCCCGACATGTAGCAAAAGCAGCAGTTTCACACAATAACACGTTCACAAAAGGAAGAATCAGATTTCGATTTTCCCCGTGACAATAAGCGAAAATGAACATCCATCGAGTGTGAGACGCTGATTAAATGAGGCCGCGAAGCACGGCGTCACAATCGTATCCTGCTTTTAATTCAAACTGTCATTTATGTAGAACGATAATTTAGACCCATGATGTGCGTGTTAAGGCGGGGTCAGATTACGCACACTGAACCGTAATAGCAAGCAAGATAATGCATATCTGCTGAGTAAAGAATGTTTCTTTTCTTTACTTAGACATTGATCGTGTATTCATCCACATTTCACAACTCTGCTTTTGATCAAATCCAGCGCTTTATTTTTGGGTTGCTGCTTATGCCGCTGTGTGAGCATGCAAAGTCGTATCGTTGCTCTGTTGCAGAACAGGAGTCATCAGCATGTCGCGTTTAGCTGCCGCTGACATTGAGTTTAAAATAACCTGATCCGAAGTTTGTAGTTCGGGAGTCTTTGAAAAAATCCTTTTTGCTCGACGCGTTTTTTATTGTCCGCAGAAGACAGTGAGGAGACGCCCGACGGCCCGGCTGCATCTGTCCTAACGCAAACATCCTTAACCTGTGGACAAGGACACTCTCACAGGTGGAGACGGGGCTCTAAAATATGCTTGAGGGAGGGGCGAGGAGGGGGGCACTAACCTGCAAAAAAGCCTTGAGTGAAATGTGGATGGGAGCCAGTGTGTCAGAAGTGTTTATTACCAGCTATTTTCCCTCCCTGACACACACACACACACACACACACACACACACACACACACACACATTTCTGTCCCACTGAGGCCGGGACATTGCGCCGCGTCCCAACATGGCACCGGCCCCGCAGAGACCTCCCAAAAACCAGAAAAGCCGTTGCGTCTGTCCTGCATGCGGGGATGATGAAGGTTGTGAGCTGCGTTCAAAAGGCCCCTTCCAGCCCCTCCTTCTCTCATAGAGAGGCAATCAGTGGCGCTCTCACACACACACACACACACACACACACACACACGTCTCGTCACTTTGAGGAAATTGCACACACGCGTCCAGATCTAACGACGCAGTGTGGTCCGCTGGGCTGCGAGCCCCCCCACCACCAATGGGAGGGATTGGATTTGTGTCCTAATCAGCTATAAGCCCTCGAGTGACCGGGCATGTGCCCGTGCAAACGCTGGAGCCGTACTCCGAGGACCCCAAGGTGCCGTCTTTTCACGGCTCATCAAAGCGCCCTGCCGACGACGCAGGCGATGCGCAAGGGGAGACTATCGGGACACGGGAGACACATTGATGGTGGTTTGAATTACGTACAAAAAAGGTCACGAGGGCCCTTGGGGGGAATTCTAGTATGTTTCCGCAGGCTTTAAGTTTCAAAGCTTTCCTCTAGAGTATGAACTTCAGAACACTTTAAGCAGGGAAGCATAAAAGCCACTGTGTCTTGCCTTGATTATGCAATTTGCCCACTGAGTCACACCAATCTGTGAAACAGAAAAAGGAAAAAAAGAGACCCGGTAATGTCAAGTGTCCGATTACGTTCAAAAAGAAACTTTTGCGTGTAGAAATCACAATCTGTTCATTTCTTTCCTTTTTTTTTTATCCATCTGCGGTACTTTCCCTTCCAGCTCCGTTGAATCGGGCGTTCGGTCAGAGGAGCAGTCGGAGATCCTCGGTAACGCACGGACGAAAAGGCAGTTTGTGATCCACGCGGCCCAACGAGTCCAGTGCAGGGAGAGTAGTACCGCCCCCCCTCCGCCCCCCGCCACACAACGCCGTCCTACACCTCCGCTCTTCTTTGAACCATCCCCCTTAAACCATCTGTATAATACGGTGCGATGAGATGGCGTCCAAGTCAATTGGCTCTTCAGGCCAGTTGGAGGGATTTCAAGGATCGAAGTGAGATTTAAATGTTTCACGTCTGACATCCAGATATTCATCAAAGAGGAGAGTGGGAGTGTTTTATGCCTCCGACGACTGACTACGGGGAATATCAACAAGCTCAAGACGTCCTGGAACAAATATGTTGACAAAAATAAATAAACAAACAACCCTGGAACTGACAAAGCGCTACGTCTCAGCTGGTTGTCTGCATGCGTTGAAGGTTTGGCGACGCCTAGTGGTGAGGCTGCAGAACGCAACCGACGCAAACGTCTGTTGCGTTGCGATCGAGCAGCACGGCCGAGGCCGAGGTGAAAGAAACAAACGGCTTTTTCTAGACTTTCTGGTGTTTGGTTTGTCCCTTGTGGGCTTTGGTAATATTAAATGTCATTGCTGTCAGTTCATGTTCCTGTTGGGTGTTATTAGTTAGGGTTTATGAAAACGAAAATTACCATTATTAAAAAGGTGGTTGACGTAGAAATATATATTTTTAATAGTAACATCGATATTTATACAGTTGACCTTATATTGTTTCTCCATTCAAATATAGAAAAAGCCTTTGCAGTTTAAAATGTAACGACTAAAGTAGTATTTTACAGGGTAAGTAGTAATCTGAGCTCGGTCTTCAGTAACCATCCCAGCAGAGTTTAATAGTTCATAGTAGCTGCTTCAGGACTGTGGATGGTTCACACGTCACCGTTACGAAGCGCACAACATCACAACCACATTCAAACGATGCTGAATCCTGATTGGTGCACAGGTGCATGACACCATGGTTTTTTTTTAGATTATTGTTCACCCGGACACCGTTTCAAACCGATGAATCTAATGAACAACGAAGGCTAGATTGTCTTAGATTATATCACCACCTCCTGACATGAACAGAGAACCATATTAAAAGCTCTGGTTATCACGAGCCCACCTGACCAGAAATAAATATTATTCAGCTTGCTTGTTTTCATTTAATTTATTCGGCAAACATTTACTGATTCCAGCTTCTAAATTATATTGATTTACTATTTATTAATCAACTAATGGAAGAGCAGAACTGTGATTCTATTTCTGCATTTTATTCCGATATTGAGACAAAACAATGACAGCAACATTTCCTCTGAGGCTTTTTTCCAAGACGCATAAAGACTTCCGTGCGAAATCGACTGAAGTTGTCCCACACTCACTGACTTCAGCACACAAAGCACTTTGCAAAACAGGAGTCGCCCCCACCGACCACAACGCTGACATGGAAACGCTCGGCCGGGTAATTATATTTCCGCGGAGCTGCTCACATCTCCCCGCCGGTGACCTCTCTAAATACAGGTAATAAAGAGCTATTGTGTCCCTGCGAGACAATCCACCTGTCACCGAGCTCCATAAGCCCCGCCCCCCCCCCGTCCTCCCCCTGTTGCTGGCCGTGTGCCTGAGCACAGATCGGACGGCTCCCCGCCACGGCGAGTGGAGAGAGCGGTTTGATGGAGCTGGTGAAGATCAGGACGGGCTCCCTTTAACACAGCCTCCAACAATAGCCGCCGCTGACAGCTCTGCATAATTCATCTTGTCGAGTCTCTCAGCCCTTCCTCCTCCACGCGCTCCTCTCGCCCGCTTTCAGTTCCTCCTCTTCCTCTTCTTCTTCTTCTTCTTCTTCTTCTTCTCCTCCGAGCCTCTTGGCGCTTGGGGAAGGGAGAACTGGGGCTGATGGAACCATCAGATGCTGCCTGTTTCCCCCCCCTGACACCGGTGATTTTGGAGACACAGAAGTGTTTGTCTGCAGCACGTTGCCCAGTGCTCGGGCTTCTGGAAGCCATCTGAACCAGATTGTGTTGGTTATTTATCGAGGCTCAGTGCCTCAGTCGCTCGCTGCAGCATGAAGTGTGGAACTATTGCCTAAAAATACACGACCATCAGGGCCGAGACGATCCGTTTGTGAGAGGCTGATCTTTTTTGGATTCAAGTACTTTGAGAATCCGTAATCTTCTTCATATGACAGGTGAAGAGACAAAGAGATGTATCCTGATCAAACTGGGTGACGGAGGGTGATGAAATCCTGCTCCATCCTAAATCTCTCGTCTTCAGCGTGCGATGCAGAACACTCACAAGTGGGGTAAAGTGATGCAAATCTCTGATATAACCACTGCAGATTATTCCGCGCACGCGGCGCTTTAGGCGACATCCCTCATAGTTTCAGCACATTTAGAAGACAAACACGGCGACTGGGACTGTGAAAAAAAAAATTAAAAACCAACAAAAGCTGCGCTGGTTTTTTTTCCCTCTCCCTCGTCTGTCGATGGGAAAAAATCATAGCGGTCAACGTCTAATCCCAAACATTTCATTGTTCCCTTTTTCTTCTTCTATGAAGTCAATAATTATTTTTTTTTAAAGGCGTCTGCCAGCGATGTTTACAAATCCCCCGAATAACCCTTCACCAGTGACAGTAAGAGTTATATATTCATTGAATCTTTAGTGGGGGAAACAGCCAGCACGCACACATTCATTTCTTTAAAACGTAATTGGTAGGTGTGAACAATTGGAATATGAAAAAAAAAAAAAGTCTTTTTCCTGCGTCTGTAGTGCCTCTCTCCATCTCAAGTGATAATAGTAGGTCGTCCAGCGCATTCATACATAACAGCTCCGGCGTTCATCTGTATCCCAGACTACCAGTATTGAACCCAGCTCTTATCAGCGTGACGGGGAAGCTTCTCTCCTCCCGCCTCGCA